GGAGAGAAGCAGCTATCTCGGAAAATTATCAAAGTGTCTCTCGAAACTAGTTGTCGACCGTTGTAACGCTCGTATAGTGGGTTGTAGGACGCTGTATGACTTAGTGAACGGGACTGAGAATACGAAGACGACTGGCTCTCAACTGGCAGTATTTTGACTCTTTCATAGTTGTAATACTGACGTAGCATCGCGTGTAAGGAAATTCTATTGTCGTGCAGTCCAACCAGTATTTGCAGGGGTGTGGTAAAATTTCCAAATCTGAGTGTCGTCGGATTCTGTTTTAGTCTAGGGATTGTTTATGAAACTAATGATTGCACAATTTCTCAACACCGCTCGTGGTTCTCTTCCTCTGTAAACTAAAATGAGTCAACTTACATATAAATGTTCCGTTCAAGTGAAAAAATTATGAACACAACGAGCTCGCATACAAATATATTTTTACGTTTATGGTTGGGCTCAGACTCAAAAAGGGCGGGTACACGGACAATCTGACTCATATTAAAAATAAAAGGATAGGGTATTTGATATTACGAGTTTCTCGTCTCGACTGATGTGGCAACTCTCCGGGCAGTCAGAACCTCTGGCTGCTTCTTGTGATGTGAAATTCTCCGGCCGATACTTGTAATAAACCATCAGTGTTTGACATCAAAGCTCCAACTCTCCTCGTGTCTCTCTGAGTCATGACTCTCCATTGCTGCAGAAGTTTCCCTTACAGTATTCACTGCAACTCTTTTCCCTCTATCGTTCATAATACTGTACATCTATACATCTTTTAGCTCCAAGATGAATACATAATCAAGTTATAGTCATCATTTAAATTAAGATTCATATTCCTCCTTGACTTAATTAGTCTTGAGCACAAGAACATGACTTTATAAAGAAAGCCATCGCACCGCACTGTGTGTGCCTCATAGCAACACCTCTTATGTGTGTGGGAGCTAGCTTGACTTGCACCAACACATTATGCATTCACAACTTTAACGTATTAATATTTATTAGATGATAGAAATTAGGAATTTGTGTTAATTATGATGTTATTAAATATTCCAATATACTGTAACAGATCAAAGAGAAAAAAGGATGATTAGCCTTGTTAGCTTTCTTACATTAATATGGTAGAGGATGTATCATGGCCTGCAGGAAAACGCTTCTTTCTGAGCAATACAGGAGTAAGGAGCGTTTATCCATATGGGCATATAGTTTTACATTATATATAGCGATGTTTAAATGTGACTTTTCTTTTCATCTAACTAATTCACATGTTTTATTAATCACCGGAATAAGTTATTGGACCGATTACCGGAGTTTCATTCTCTCATTTATCAAAACAAAGTTTGGTACTTTGCTCTCTTTCATCTCTGAGCAGAGAATGTGCCGTTGTCCTCGCCGGCTCACCCCTCCTCCCCCCGGCTTGTTTGTAGTAGGCAGCTGCATTACTGTTTTCAAAGGCTTCACTGTGGGTAGCTGCTTGATGCAAATCAGTATCTCCGTTCAGCTCATTATTGTAATAAACGTCTCAGAAGTGTGGATATGTCTGTTAATAAATGCAACTACATAGAAACTCTAATGTCATGAAGATGCTGGAAGGTTCAGCCGCCTTAAGATAAATATATTTGGCCCTGAAATCTGCTTGTCCTGCAGAGAGGGCAGACATCAAACACTATAGTAGCTATTTATTTTAGCTTAAGACGATGTATCCTTTATAATCAGAGATGAGCATAATTAATAAAGAGGATGCTGTGCTGAGCCCCCTCCCCGTCTGATCAATCTTGTGCAGAGTTTTCTGAGTGACAGATTGCACGCTGTGTGGGTGGGTGCGACCCAATCACCCTCACTGACCCCTCACAGCGAGCGCAGCAGGGTTGTTGAGCCCATTCTTGTACACTTTACACCAATGACTGCACCAGTCCGTCATCATTATTTCCCTCAGACATGTAGACAAAACCATCATCACTTTCCACTTCATCTAATCTGGTCACATTGTGAAGTCTAACATTGCATACACATTGCTGAAATCAGTTAAATATTCAGCATCACAATATTTCAGATAACACAAAGTTACAATGGGGATTTTAAACTCGAACAAAACAAATACTGATTCCACTGGCCCTCCTTTTTCCAACTCTCACTCACATTTTGACATTTTCCGTCTTCCGGCTACAAGCCACATAACACAACAACAAACATAGCAACAGTAGAAGAAAATACTTGTATTTCTCATAGGTCCTTTCCATAATGTTGTCAGACACTTAATATTGTAAAAATCTTAGCCTGTCAGAGGCAAAAACAAGCACTTTAAAGTGGACAAACGTTGGCCTTGCGCCCATTGCTCCCAGCCATAACATTGCATCCAGTGTAATGGCTGCCATTAAGCATTCTTGCTCCAATTTCAAAATGTGTTATTTAGACACCAAAACATGGGAAATAAGGTCTGATACAATACTAAGTGTACCATTTAATGATATCGTAAAAAGGAAAAATAAACATAAAACACTCTATGTTACCACCCCATCTCCTCCTGTTGTTGACAAGTAATACTAAACTGCTTCCTTAGCATGTGATCCATACTAAACGGCCAAACTCACACATAACCAACACAGCTGATGGGATAATTGGCCGCTTCAACACCTAACCAACAGAGCTAATCACTAATGCCAAA